AGAGAGGGGTGGGAACCGGTTGGAGGGAAGTTAAGGGGGGGGCGGAGAGGAACAACTGTAATAATATGAACAATAAAGATTTAATTAAAAAAAAAAACAAAAAAACCCTACAATAATTAAAAGATATGGTATTGGCATAATGATAGACTTATAGACCAGTGGAAGAGAATAGAGAGCCCAGGAATAAATTCATGCATATATGGTCAACTTGTCTTCAAAAGGGTGCCAAAAAATATACAATAAGGAAAATATAGTCTCTTAAACAAATGGTGTAGTGAAAACTAGATATCTACATGCAAAAGAATGAAATTGCACCTTTATCTTACACCATACACAAAATCAACTGAAAATGGATTACAGACTTAAAAATAAGACCGAAACTATAAACTCCTAGAAAAAAACATAGTGAAAAGCTTCATGATATTGACAATTATTTCATGAATATGACAGCAAAATAGAAGGTACCAAAAGCAAAAATATACAAATGGGACCACATCAAAACTAAAAGTTTCTGTACAGCAAAGGAAACAGTAAAAAATTGAACAAGTAACCCAAGGAATGTGAGAAAATATTTGTAAACCATATATGTGACAAAGGGATAATATCCAAAATATATAAGAAACACCTATAACTCAATGCAAAAAAATTAATAACCAGATTTTAAAACATGCTAAGTACTGAAATGGAGATTTCTACAAAGAAGACAAAAATGGCCAATAGGTACATGAAAAGATACTCAACATCACTAGTCATCATGGAAATGCAAATCAAACCCACAAGGAGATATCTCTGAGATAAGCTGTTAGGATGATTATTAACAGAAGAGCAAAAGACAAAAGTTGTTGAATCTGTGGAGAAATTGGAACCCTTGTACATGGTTGGTGGATGCAAAATGTTGAAACTGCTATGGAAACAGTAGGGATATAACTTTGAATAAATTAAAATAGAATTACTATATAACCCAGCAATCCTACTTCTGGGCATGTATTCAAAAGAATTGGAACCAGAAACTCAAAGATCTTAGCATTCTAATGTTCACTGAAGCACTACTCACTTCTTGTTGTTAATCCTCACCCAATAATATTTTTCCATTGATTTTTTTAGAGAGTGGCAGGGTGTGGGGGAAACACAGAGAGAGAAACAGCCACATGAGAGAGACACATCAATTGGTTGCCTCCTGCACATGTCCCGACCAGGGCTGGGCAGGGGGTAGGTGGTGGGGAGGGTGTTGAACCTGCAACCAAGGGATCAAACCCGAGATCCTTCAGTCCACAGGCTGATGCTCTATCCACTCAGCCAAACTGGCTAGGGAAGCACTATTCAATTTTTAAGATTCAAGGTTTTACTTAAAGATATACATTTTACATTTTCTCTCTAGATATAAGGAACCATGCATTACTATAATTGCTATATTGACCAAAAGATGTTTTAAATGGGCTTGTGGTAGAGGCACTATGAGATGAGAGGAAAGGATTGGAGAAATAGAATAGTACCTGGTGCATCTTGATGAGGAAGCAGTCAATGAAGTCCTGAGGGTTCTGTGGGTCAAAGGATGCCTCGTTGATCTTGACCCTAGAGGCAATGAAGTCTTTGAGCTCTTCTATCAGGTAGTAGATGCGATTATGTCTTCCTGGCAAATATTGCATGATTCCGGAATACATGTCATATAGCTGTGGGGAATAGGCAAAGGTGGTTTGTCAGTGATGAGTACCTGGGGTCAGCATGGGCTGAGTCTCTAGTCAGACAGCTAGTCTTAATGTCCAGGGCTGAGTCTGAGAATTGGGTTCATTTGCTTTTAAGAGACTTAGAGCATATTCTCAATGTTGTAGGGAGGATTAAATGAAGTATAAGCAGGTGACTTAGTTACCTGAGGCTGGTGGTGGGTAGAGAGTGATAGGAGGACTTATAATCTGATAGAGCACCTGAATTAATCTGAAAAATAATCATATTATTTTATATCTTAGAACACATATACTTATGTGACTCGAGGGTTAAATTTCTTATATGTGAATAGGGGGTTAACTTTTTCTTAAGTTTCCTTCTCAAGGCCGTGCAAAGCAATTAAGGAGGTGACTCAACTGTGAATCCAGCAAGCAAACCCAATAAGCATGATCAGACCAACCCACAAGGAGTCAAAACATCATCTCATCACCTGTTGAGTAAGAACAATAGCTGATGTCTGTGGACCTTCAGGGCTGCACGTAACTGCATTCCATCCCCGGCTTCAATCTAGCTTCTTCCCCTTTATAATCCTGTACCCTGCACCTTGCTGTAAGACAGGATTTGAATGCTTGTAAGTTCCCTGTCTTATTGGTTGACTAGCCTTCTCAATAAATGCCTTATATGATTCAACCCTGCCTTCATTGTTGGATACAGCAACAGGTAGCCTGAGACCAACCTGGGGTTTCCTGGTAACAAGAGGTGACAGGTGGGTACCTGCGTCCAGGGCGAGTTCATTTCCGTGAACCTCTCATTAATCATCTGCAGCAGCTTCAGAAACTGCTTGTCCTCATAGTCAAAGCGGCTTCCAAAAAGAATGGAACTGATGACGTTACAGACACTGCGGCTCAGGAAGAAGGTGGGTTTGATGGGGGCACCTGGGTGATGAAAATTAGCAATGTTGGAGGCATTGAATAGGAACATGGAGTGTGGAATCACTTGGACATGGATATGAGTAATGGCTCAACTCAACAGCATGCATAAGTCATTTCATTCTTTGCTGTTGCATCTAGATGCCCACATTTCAAATTGAATTAGTATCCACTTCCTTGGTTGAAAAGAACTCAATATCATTATGTGTGTAAAGTTCTTAGCACAGTGCCTGGCATTTAATAAGCTCTCAAGACATGTAAGGGATTATTATCATTATCATTATTATTATTTATTTGTGTTTGGGGGAAAGAAAAACATATTTGGGAAAGAAGTTCCAGTAAGTGACCAAAAAAGTGCTTGATTTCTGAGTCTAGCTCCACCACTGATTCCTTTGGGGGGTATTAAGATAATCCTTCCCTAGCTATCAGTGGCACCACCTATGAAACAGAACGCTGGTGTTAGCTCAGTGCATTGAAAATCATTCCCCCAAATAAAGCAAACATTCACAAATATACAGTTTTACAAATGATTACTGTGGGTACATGGACAGTCAAACCTTTTCAAGTAAACACTGTTACACATATTTCTCAATCTCTGTGCCTTTTCTCTATAGATCCTAGTGATTCCTAAACTTACCACAGGTTAGGAAGTGGACTTCTTTAAATCTAATAAAACTTTCATCCAGTCCTCACAAAAAAGTACAAACTCACATGGTGCCAAAGTCTACATATAATTTCTGGGCTCACAGATTCACTGCCATGCACTGATTAAGTTTCTGGACAGAAGAATCTTTAAGGGTCTTTCATATTAACTTTTAACATGGATCCTGATTGGGAAAAGGTGTGAATCCTACAATTAATCTTTTCTCATCCTCTCACTCCATAACTCTCTTCTACCAAGAACTTTGCTCTGGAAGCTGAACTCACTGCAACCACACAGTCCCCTTATGGCCCTCCACCTTCTCACATCCATACCATTGGTTTTATGAAATTCCTCCAGTAGAAAGCTGATCTCCTCCTGGATCCGCTTCTCCATGCTCCGCCTTCCAAACCTGAAGTCCCAAAGGGTGGTCAGGCAGAAGCTTCGGAGAATCCTCCATCGTTTTCCATTAGCCAGAACTACACCTGCCAGAATCACAATATTAAGCTTTTGCCTCCTTTCTTTTTGTTCCGAACTCTGTGCTGGACCAGGGGGTGCTGGAATATGACAGCTTTAGACTCTGCTCTCAGGGAAGCCTCTCCCAACCTCCTAAGCTCAATGAGGAGACTAAGCTTCCCTCTCTACAGACTAGGACTGAGATGAAGGGATATGAGTCAGGCAAGGAATTAGAGTGAAATCAAGGAAAGCTTAACAGAGGATAGATTAAGAACTGAATAAATAACAGCATGGATGCTTAAGAAGGTGGAGGGAGGGATAGAATGCTAGATGAAGTACCCTGAAGGAGAGACTGCCTCTATTTTCTACATATCACTTAGGTTCTCCTGACAGATACATGCATGTATACACATGATCACACCTGGATATCAATCTATCTGCACTAAATAGCTTGCCATTTAGTAAGAAACATTTAAAAACTGCCAAGTGTGGGGATGGTTCAATGGATATTTAAAAATTAATGAAAGGGTGGTAGAATGATGAATGCAAATAAGATTTTATGACTGGATTTATGGACAGGCAGATAAATAAAGGAGTAAACAGATGGGAGGAGGAGAAATGGGTATAATGTTTGAGAAGTGGATGATTGGAAGTTTGGAATAGTAAATAGATGGAAAGATTAACAAATTTGTTGATGAATGAATGGGTAGAAGAGTTATGAATAGATGGAAGAACAAAGAGATGGTGTGAGACTACTTGGAATTGAAGGATGTAGGCTGTTAGAAAATTGGGTGTATGGGTAACATTATAAGAGATCTACCTAAATGGAGGAGGCAGTGAGCTATGTATTGGGTATGTGTGTTTGTGGAGGAAAGTTAGAAGTAAGGTTGGCTATAAGGATTTGACTGTGTACACACAAAGCATGTAGTTAATTCATTAAAAATGAAAGACATCCCCCGTGGGGGATGTGCGGGAGGCAGCTGATCGATGTTTCTCTCTCATCGATGTTTCTAACTCTCTATCTCTCTCCCTTCCTCTCTGTAAAAAATCAATAAAATATATTAAAAAAAAATGTTAAAAAAAAAAAATGAAAGAAGATGTAGCACAGCAGGCACTCTGGAGTCAAATGGTTTGGGTTCAATCCTGGTTTTACCACTAACTCACTGTGTGACATTATATAATCTTCCCTACTCAAAAATTTCTTACTTGAAAAGTTATAATGATATTAGTATTTCCCTCAAAAGAGTAAATGTGATAATGCATGTTGAGTACTTATCAAAGAACCCATGACACAAGAAAGTGCATCATAACATGTCATTATTGTTTTCATTGTTAATGTATTGTTGTTACTTACCATGACCTTGGAAGCTTCTCTCTAGTGAAGGCATCTTCCCACGGCCAATGAACTCATCTGCGTGGCCCACCAGGGCTTCCTTTACTGCTTCATGTCCACATAAAACAACTACTGGCCGGGAACCCATGTATACTGTAAAGACTGGGCCATATTTCACCCTGAGCTGGGGGTAGAAGACATAACACGAGGGGGCTTTTAGTGCACCATGTATAGGTTAATGAAGAAGTTAGGGTGAAGACTCTGGGGACAGAAATGAGGGAAGAGGGGAAAAGGGCAAGTCCTGGTATTGGAAGTACTATTGAAAACAAAAAAACAAAAAAACAGAGGAGCCTTGATTCTTGTGATCCTGGATGAGTCCCCTCTCCCACCACACAATTCCAAACTTAGTTTCCTCATCTGTGAAATGACTGATTTGGATTAAATGAACTCCAAGATCCATTCTTCATTCTCTGAAATGCTAAATGTCTAGAATCTTAAAATCATATGTTACCGACTCTTAAAGTTCTCAGACAACCTGAGTGTAAGAGGTATTGTGTTTGGGAATTTAATGACTTCTGATTCCAAGATTGTGAGCTGTGAGAGAATGAATTTCCAACATACTAGAAATTTGTGTTTCAGACTTCAGTATATTAAGACTCAAAAATTTTAGTTCAGCAAATCTGTGTTTCCAAGTGTCTGGATTTTAGAAGTAATAAGGTTCTAAGTATAGCTGGCTATAGAATAAGTTGCTCTTAGCTCTGCCCAAGAGGTGTAGTCAGACTCACCTTTGTGAAAGACTGAGAGATGTTACCAGCATGGAGTTGCAACACATTCCCCAGGAAGGGCAGAGGTGTGGGGCCAGGGGGCAGATTTCCCTTCTTGTTGATCTGTACCCAGGCAGTGAAGATGAGCAAAAAAAACAAGCAGAGCTCCAGAAAGATGGTGAAGGCATCTCCTAGCTCCATGATGACAGGTGAATAGGTTGTGTCCAGAGCACCAGTACCTGCATAAATAAGTTTTGGGAGATCAGCTTATACTGAAATCTAAACACCTTGGATTCAAGTATGGGTGCCATTTTGAAATATGGATGCCATCAAGGAACTGATTGCTTTATCTAGAAGTGTTTATATAACCAATTTAATGCCAGATACCAAATCACAGAATCAGGAAGCTGAGAAAACACCGAGAAAGATAAATGCTAAAATATCTACATTTAGCTATATCATTTTCAAACCACAGAAAATCAAACTATGAAAAATCCTTAAAGAAGGCATAGGGAAAAGACACGTTACTTATAGAGGAGCAAAGGTAAGAATTACACCTGACTTCTCTTAAGAAACAATGCCAAAAAAGATATTAGAGTAACATAGTTAAAGTATTTAGGGGAAAAAACTTATTAACTTAAAAATTATTTATCTTGGAAAATTATCCTTCAAAAGCAAAGGAGAAATAGTGACTTGTTCAGAGAAACAAAAATTGAGGGAATTTGTTGTCAGTAGACCTGCCTCAAAAAAAAATGTTAAAAGAAGTTCTTTAGAACAGTCTATTCAACAAATGGTGTCAGGAAAATTGGAAAGATACATGCAAAAAATTAAACTAGATCACCTACTTACACCATATTCAAGAATAAACTAAAAATAGATTAAAGACTTCAATGTACAACTGGAAACCATAAAACTTCTAGAGGAAAACATAGGCAGCAAACTCTCTGACATTGTTCTTTTATTAACATTTTTTTCTGATATATCTCCTCGAGTAAGGGAAACAAAAGAAAAATAATAAGCAAATGGGACTACATCAAATTAAAGAGGTTTTATACAGCAAAGGAAACCATCAACAAAGCAAAAAGACAATCTACTGAATGGGACAAGATGTTTGACAGTAATACATTCAATGAGGGGTTAATACCCAAAATTTGTTAGGAACTCATACAACTCAGCACCAAAAACCCAATCCAATTAAAGAAAGGGTAGAGGACCTGAGTAGAGATTTCTTCAAAGAGAACATACAGATGGTCAACAGACATATGAACAGATGCTCACTAATCATCAGAGAAATGCAACTTAAAATCACAATGAGATCTTACTGTTGGAAGCTGCCATCCCCAGTGCTCCAAGGAGCTGCCCCAGCATTGGGAGATGCTTACCTGGCATCCCAAAGGACCATTCTGGGTGGCCCAAGAAGCCCAACTCAGTGTCAAGAGGGCCCTCCCTCCTGTTAGAGGAGCCCCTGTGGAAGCCTGAATTCTGGACCTTCTGAGGATGGATTTGAAGACCTGTAAGTGCCCCCCATCTTCTCAAACTGGTGCCTTTTCCATCAATAAACCTTTCCTGACTCCAAACTCTGATATTTTGAATATTGACCTTTTGAAGCATCCAGCACACAGACTTTGAACTGATGGTCCAGAAGATGGCAGCAGAGTAGGTGGATCTTTCTCACACCTCCTCCCAGAATCTAACTGGAATTAAAATTAAAATGGGGAATATTCACCCTGAATTACCAGCTGAAGACTGACTGAAGAGGAGGCTTTTCAACAAGGAAGGGCAGAAACCACCTCGAGACTGCTAGGAAAGGTGACTGGAGAGGAGAGAGGCCTGGATTCCAGGAAGGGCTCCCCAGCCTTGACAGTCAGAGCTGAGAACAGCTGCCCACGCAGCAACCAGTGACAGGGCCTCTATCAGCCAGGGAATGGGGCTACCCAGAGACAAAGACACTTTTATTAAAGGGACGGTAAACAGGATTTTTGTTCCTAGCCATTCACCCCAAATTTCAGTGTAAGAATGGGAGTGTGGACTGGAGTTGCCTAAGGAGAGACAGGGATGGAAGGAGTTGGGGAAAGTTGCAGGGGGCACAAGTGCTGGGATACCTGTGTTGAGTCATGCTTCCTGATATCACAACGGCTTTTTTCCCTAAGAGGCACAAGCCCAGCTCAGCAGCAGAAGCCTGGGGTAAGGCAAATACCCAGCACTCTGTGAGGCAGTTTTCTCCACCCTCTGGAGTCCATTGTGCCAACTCTGCATCTCACACCTTGCTGAGGAGGCAGCAGTTTCAGGGAGTGTCGGTGGCTAGTTTGGGGGCCTGGCCATTCATTCCCTTACATTCCGAAGAACCGGGCTCACACTTCCCTCTAACAGGAGAGCTGATAGAAACTCTTGGCTTCCAGCAGACCCCACCAGCCTGCCTAAGAGGGGTTCCACCCTGTTAATGTCAGGGAAATATTCTTGGAACACATCCAACATCTTCCCTGAAGTCTAAGCATTTGCTGACCTGCCTTAGGTCCCCATGATGCTAGAAAACTGGCCTAGGAACTCAGCTTGGCCCGCCATGTGGGAAGTCAAACCCAGTGGAGGCAGCCACAAGCTGTGGATCACTTGTAGCTTTGAACAGGGTGCTGAGAGCCCAAAGTAGGAAACTTCTGACATTGGCTAGTACAAAAGTACCTCCTGGGAGGCTGGAAATCAGGGAACAAAACAGCCTCAGACAATGTAAGAGCAGGATACAAAGGGAAATCTGAGTAGGCACAAAAATCTGCTGAGATGAACTTTACTTGCTTACACCTGTACAACAGCTTGCACAGTGCAGTTGGGGTTGAGCCTCACAGCCACCTGAGAGGAGATCCCACCAATGAATGGGACAACAACTACTAAGGCCCAATTACAACGAGAGCACAAATAACCTACAAAAGGGATACTCCTGAGCATTCAGCTCAGGAGTTCAAGGAGGCTGCACCACTGGGTCCCATGGGACATTTACTACAAAAGGCCATCCCATGAAGACTAGCAGGTATATCCAGTACATAGAAATAAACATAAAGAGACAACTAAAATTTGGAGACAAATAAAAAACCCACAAATGAAAGAAAAGAAACAGAACCTCCAGAAAAAGAGCTAAATGAGATGGAGGTATGCAATTTATCAGACATAGAGTTCAGAGTAATGGCTGGTGTGGCTCAGTTGGTTGAGGGTCATCCCATGCACCAAGAAGTCACCAGTTTGATTCCCTGTCAGGGCACAAGCCCAGGTTGCAGGCTCAATCCCCAGTAGGTGGCATGAAGGAGACAGCTGATCTATGTTTCTCTCTCATGGATATTTCTATATCTCTGTCCTTTTCCCGTTCTCTCTCTCTCTCTTTCTCTCTCTCTCTCTCTCAAAAAAAAATCAGTAATAACATATTTTAAAAATGCTCAAGGAACTTAGTGAGAATACAAAAAAAATTAATAGGAACTACAGGGAACTTAGTGGGAACTACACTGGCATGAAAAAGGACATAGAAACCATGAATAAGAACCAGTAGGAAATGAAGAATAACTATATCTGATATCAAGAATACTCTGGAAAGGATTCAAAGCAGGGTTGATGAAGCAGAGGATTAAATCAGCGATTTGGGGGGGGGGACCCCCACTAAATTAAAGTAGCAAAAAGAGAGAAACCACTTAAAGAGCATGAAGAGAGTGTAAGGGAATGTTGGGACAACATGAAATGGAACAACATATGCATCATAGAAGTACCAGAGGGAGAAAAAATGAGCAAAAGATAGCCTGTTTGAAGAAAAAATGACATTAAACTTCCCTAACACGGTGAAGGAAAAATGCACACAAGTTCAGGAAGCATGGAGCCCCAATCAAGATGAACACAAAGAGACCCACACCAAGACACATTGTAATTACATTGGCAAACAAAGACAAAGAGATAATCTTAAGGACAGCAAGAAAGAGACAGTCAGTTACCTACAAGGGAGATCCCATAAGCTGTCAGCTGATTTGTCAACAGAAACACTACAGGCCAGCGGGAATGGCATGAAGTATTCAAAGTAATGAACTTGAATCCAAGACTACTCTATCCAGCAAAGCTCTCATTTAAAATTGAAGGTGAAATAAGGAGTTTCCCAGATTTTGAGCCTCTCAGAATGGAAGTTCTCATGGTGAAGGTGCTGGGTCACCTCCTCGAGGTCCTGCATGAGGGATGAGCATTGTCCACTGCTTCAGAAATTGTTATGCTCTGGGCTTTCCATCTCCACCATACCTGATAGAAGAAATCTCTGACCTTCTTGATTTTGACCACAGAGAACAGGATACTGTCCTTAATAAGCCTGGTCTGCTCTATAAAATCTTCATCTTCTTCTAATCTGCATCAGGTTCCTTCAGAGTGATCGTGTCGCCAGTGGAAATTGAGGGTCCTTGGTGGGTGGATGCTGAACCCAGACTGTCACAGACCCTTAGGGCCCAGCCCCATGAAGCCCAAAATACCAATCAGGTTTTCTCGATTTGGCTTTTCCTTAACTGTTTCTTTTTTGAACCGTTTCTGAAGATAGACAATTTGCAATGGTCATTTTTTTTTTATGTATGACTGTCTCGCCTATTTTCAGCCACCACCATTTCCTTCACAATGTGTAATACAAATTTCTCCATGGATTGTGTGAGCATGATCGACATTGAAATCTGCACCATGGACTGTTTGCAGGTGCTTCTAGTCAAAGCCACCCCTGGCGGGTTTTCTGTGTTCTGTGGCCTCAGCCTTTCCTTTCCCTCCTGGCATGTCTCTGTCCTTCCCCGCATCCCACACTCCTTCCTTCACTCTGTATATCTCATACTCCAAGGGTGCAGATGTTTTTGGGCCTGCTTCCACCACCCCACCCCCAAAAACATTTCTACTGAAGTTGAGAAAGAGACAGATGAAAGGAAACCTGGAGGGAGCAGGTGCTGGCCCACTATTTTCACTTTGCTGTAACAGGAGGGAATAAAATGGAGGAAATGCTTAATCAGAGGATGAGGAGGGTTATTATTATGGCCAAAAAATAAAATGAGGTCAAAATATGTTAGTTACAAAAGTGTACTACAGAAAATAATAGGCTTTTTCTTGATAACTTGGCCTCTTAACTGTCACACGATTGTGTATGGTCAAAAGCTTTAGGTTTAGACCAGTGGTTCCCAACCATTTTTTGGCCATGCCCCACCTAAGCATCTCTAAAATCCTGATGCGCCCCCCCCCCGTTACACACAATTCTTATTATTCAAAAAGTGAACTACTATTCACATGGAGGAAAGACTTGACTTGGGATAGTGAACACACACTACTATAGACAGAGATAGATGATATATTTTAGAATCGCACACCTGAAACCTGTATAATTTTATTAACCACTGTCACCCAAAAAGATTGAATCAATAATTAATGATCTTAAAAAATAGCAAGCATCAGGCTCAAATAGGTTCACTGGTGAATTCTAGTAAACATTGAAGGAACAAATTATGCCAATTCTCTATAGTTTCTTTCAGAAAATAGAAGCCTACGGAATACTTCCAAACTCATTCCATGAGGCCAGCATTACCCTCATGCCAAAACCAGACAAAACTATTACAAGTAAAAGGAAACTACATGCCAATAGTTCATGAACATAGATGCAAAAATCTGCAACAAAATATTGGCAAATCAAATCCAACAATGTATGAAAAGAATTATATGACATGCCAACATGGGATTTATCTCAGGTTTGCAAGGCTGATTCAATATTTGAAAAGAAATTAATGTATTCCATCATATCAACAGGCTAAAGAAGGAAAAGTACAAGATCAAATGAATAGATGTGAAATAGGCATTGGCAAAATACAACACCCATTCATGATATAAACTCTCGGTATACTAGGAATAGAGGGGAACTTCCTCAATTTGATAAAGAATATCTACCCAATCCCAGCTAGTATGGCTCAGTGGTTGAGCATCAGCCCATGAACCAGGAGGCCATGGGTTGATTCCCAGTTTGGGCAAATGCCTAGGTTGTGGGCTTGATCCCCAGTAGGGGGCGTGCAGGAGGCAGCCAAGTGATGATTCTCTCTCATCATTGATGTTTCCATCTCTACCTCTCCCTTCCTCTCTCTGAAACCAATAAAAATATATTTAGAGAAAGAATATATACCCCAGATCCACAGCCAACATCATACTTAATGCTGAGAAGCTTTGCTTGTAAGAGCAAGTGCAAGAATGTCCCCTTTTACCACTGCTTTTCAACATTATACTGGAAATCCTAGCTAATGCAATAAGATAAGAAAAGGAAATAAGGAAACAGATTGGGAAGAAAGTAAAAAAATAATTTGCCTTTGTTTGCAGAAGACACAATCATCTATGTGAAAAATCGGAAAGAATAAACAAAGATTAAACTCTTGGAACAATTAGGTAATTGTAGCAAGGTTGCAGGCTACAAGGTTACTATAAAAGTCAATTGCTTTCTAATATATTAGCAGTGAACAGGTAGAATTTAAAATTAAAACACAGACACACACACAAAATAAAATTAAAACACAATAATATTTACAATAGTACCCCCAAAATGAAAAACTTAGGTATAAATCTCATAAAACATATAAAAAACATATATGAAAAAATACAAAACTCCAATGAAAGATATCAACAAATAACTAAATACATGAAGAGATATTCCATGTTTGTGGAGAGGAAGACTCTATATTTTCAAGGTGTCACTTCCTCCCATCTTGATTTATAGATTCAATGAAATGCCAATCTACATTCCAGCAACAGACTGAGTCTAAAATTCATATGGATAGGCAAGGCTCAGAATAGCCAACAAATATTGAAAAGAGAAGTACAGAGTTAGAGGACTGACACTACCCAACTACAAGATTATAAGGCTATAGTTATCAAGACTGTGTGGCATTGGCAAAGCAATTAATGGAACAGAATAGAAAGCCCAGAAATAGATCCACAGGAATGCAGTCAACTAATGTTTGATAAAAGAGCAAAGGCAATGTAAAAGGAAAAAGTTAGTCTTTTCAACAAAGGGTACTGAAGCAACTGGACATCTGCATGCAATAATATGAATGTAGACACAGACCTTACACCATTCATAAAAATTAACTCAAAATGGATCATAGACATAAATTTAAAATACAAAACTACAAATAAATAGGAGAAAATATAGATGACCTTGGGTTTGGTGATGACTTTTTGATACCCCACCAAGGGTATGATTTATAAAAGAAATAATTGACAATGTGTCTTCTGATCCCTCAATATGATGAATCTTTCCACTTGTGCAGGCCTTTCTTAATATCTTTCACCTGTAGTATGTAGTTTTCAACATTCAGATTCTATACATATTTTGTTAGGGTTATACCTACTAAGCATTTTATTTTTGGTGCTATTATAAATTGTACTGTTTATTTAATTTTGATTTCCAATTATCTTTTGCTCATATATAGAAATATGGTTGATTATTGCATATTGGCCTTGTAACCTGGACATTTGTAAACTCACTTATTAGTTCTAGAAGTTTTTTTTTTTTTAGATTCCTTGGGAGTTGCTACATGAAAAATCAAGTCATCTGAGAAGAGAGGTAATTGTATTTCTTCCTTTGCAAACAGTATGTCTTTTATTTATTTATTGTGTTGGCTAGAACATCTAGTGTGATGTTGAATATGCATAGCAAAAGGAGACATCCTTTCCTTGTTCCCAAACTTAAGGAAAAAACATTCAGTCTTTCATCACTCATCTATAATTTGAAATATTCTAGTATTCACATTGAAAGGTGAAGAGAAACAAATAAAATTAATAATATATTTTATAATATATCTAAAATATAATCATTTCAACTAATATTGTAAAAATTATTCTTCCACAACTTTTTTTCTTATTACATTTCAAGCTTGTTGGCATTTTATACTGTGAAAAATAATGTAAACAGAGTCATTTCGAAATGGAGTCAGAGCTGCCACCCCAGAGGAAAGGCATTGCCCATCTTGCTCTTTGAACATTTGGAATGTTTGAACTGGGCAAAAGAATGTTTGGAACAGGCCAAAACAACCTTGTATCTCAGACAAATGTTTGCAAAGCTAACAGGAAAGCAGACATCCTGACTACAGGACTGAAACGTAAAGACATTCTTTATAATTAGCATCACCATATATTGCTAAAAAGTAACATCGTTTGCACATACAAAAATTCCTTTCTTAGTTTAACCATACCAATAGAAATTCTTTCTTTCTATTCATGTAATTAGTCCCCTCCCTTTTGTCACAAAACCCCCTGGACCTCTCCCCATAATCAGAATACTATTTGGGTTTCTGCCTAAATCAGTTCTTCCCAAACAGTCATTCCTTCTCACCTCAAATGTTTCTTGGTTTTCACTTTGGCCTTTTATTTTTAGGTGAAGATATCTGGTGTCAGAATCAGGATCTGAAGCAATCCCACATTCGAAAACCAAAGTTCGTTGGAATGGGGTATGTTGCCTCCACAGACATCCACCTCTTCAACCATGAGTTCCTCTCAGACTCTGGACTTCTGTCTTTTTATAGTTGAGGTCAGTAAATTCATCTGAGACAGGGAGGGATTTTTCCTGGAATGGGGGCGGAGAAGGAGGGCTCCAGAAATGCTTGTCCTGGTGCCAGAGTTCATCTGCGACTCCAGAACCTTGCCGTGGCATGAGGAATTCTTTCCTTGAGGAGAGTCTTCTTTCATGGCTCTGACACATGCAAGAAGTCTCTGGCAGGTGAGCAGCTGGCAGGGATTCCCTACCCGCCCCCCACCTCCCAGCTCCTAACTCCCCCCCCACCCTGCACCCCCCTCCCTCATGGTTGAATACTCAGTTTTGTTGTGTGGTTTTGCTTTATTTCTTTGTCTTTGTCTGTTGTGTCCTTTGCCTTAAGAAGGAAATTCACTTTGGGTTAAATCAGATAACCTTTTTTCTTTAGTCTTGAGATTTTGGCTTTTTGACCTATGGAAGTACATTCCTTGCTTCCTGCTATCTGGAAGGCATCCAAGTCCATGTGTTTTTGACATTTGGCATCTATTTTAGGTTTATCTATAGCACATCTCAGACTAAATTTTCGTCAGAAAATTTGACCTGTATTTAGATTTCATAAAATTTAAACCTGATAAGGTTGATTTACAAATCAAAGTTATTCTAAGCACACTTAAACCCTTTTACCTTAAATTTAAATCAAGTGCTTAAATTAACTCAAAATAAATAATATTAAAAATTAATCACCAGTCTCACTAGCTATATTTTATGGGCTTGATTGCCACTTACAGCTAGTGGCCACTGGGCTGGATTGTGCAGGCATAGAAGAAAGAGGAAGTACCACCTCTATCCACCCCCAAATGGGAAAGGGAATTTTGTAATTGATGTGATTATTAATGAGCAGTTAGATCATTCCCCCCTCTTTTTTGTCTTTAAAAGCAATGCTGGAATGATTGTGCTTATATTTCCCTTTTTTTGACACTTCCTCAAAATGTAATTGCTGGTTTAAAAGATTGTGTGGAGGATGAGGTATTTCAGAAGGTAGAGATAATAAAATAAATCACCAAAAGGAAAAGAAAGGAAATAAAAGGAAAGCATTTGATTTTGTAAGAAGTAAATTTCCTTGGTTAAAAAAATGTATTCAAAGGCAAGAATCAGCATTAGAGGACTGTCTTCAGCCAACATCTATCCTATCTAATAATAGACAAACAGGGTAATTGACCATACCTTCGCTATGCCTCCCATCAGCTAATCAGTGCGATGTGCAAATTAATCGCCAACAAAGATGTCAGTTAATTTGCATATGTAGGCTCCAAGCGGCGGAGCGAAGACTGAAGGTGAGCCAGAGCCACGAAGACGGAAGGCGGCTCTGGCCGGGGCCGCGAAGATGGAGGACAGAAGGTGGCTCCGGCCAGAGCGAAGGCCTGGGTCCTGGGTGCCGGAGGAAAACCGGTGCCGGCAGCCAGGAGAAGGGAAGGCCTATTGCACGAATCTCTTCGTACAACAGGCCTCTAATATATATTTAAAAGTCTAAGCGACCATTAGGACTGAATGACTGGAACGACCAGTTGAGCAGTTGCTATGATGCACACTGACCACCAGGGGGCAGATGCTCAATGCAGGAGCTGCCCCCTGGTGGTCAGTGTGCTCCCACAGCCGACCTCCTGTGGCCCCTCCCTCCGGCCAGCCAGCCCACCCCCATCAGCCCCAGGTGCTATAAACCATTTGTAGAGACCTGCTTCTGGGTCTGGGTTTCAGACCCAGAACCAGCAAAGCAGTTCCCTTGCTGCGATCAATTGAAAGTCAGTCCCCAACACAAGAGTTTGTCACGATCCCATCCTCTCACTTCCCTGGGGGCTGCCTGCCTGCCATTGTGGCAGTGTGGCAGCTAAGGAAGGAGGAGAGGGGCAGGCGGGAACTATGTGGTGGTGGGGTGGTGATGGCGGCTTCAGCATCTGTTCTTTCTGTGCCTGGCCCAGTGACCGTTGCCTCCTCTTCTGACCCCACCAGGGCTTTTGGCGAACAGGGATGGGGAACAGGGAATGGGTGGCGGCAGATGTGTCCCCTTCCCCAGGGGGGCCGAGGACCAGCTCTCTCTTCAGGACTGGCAGCCAACCTCCTGAGGTCCCTCCCCCCTGCGGCCAACCTCCCGTGGTTCTCCCCCCATGCACAAATTCATGCACCGGGCCTCTAGTTACAAAGAACTAATATGCATACTACAGGCCCGGTGCATGATATTTGTGCACTGGTAGGGGGTCCCTCAGCCTGGCCTGCACCCTCTCGGGCTGAAGCCAGCAGTCAGACATCCCCCTAGGGCCAGCTGTGAGCCCTCTGTGGGAGCGCTGTTCAGCCAGAAGCTGAGCTCACTGCTCCTTAGGGCTGCCTCAGAGGCAGGAGAGGCTCCTGCAACCACTGCTGTGCTCGCCAGCTGTGAGCCCGGTTTTTGGCTGAGTGGCGCTCCCCCTGTGGGAGCGTACTGGCCACCAGGGGGCAATTCTTGAGTTGAGCATCTGCCCCTTGGTGGTCAGTGAGCATCATAGTGACCGATCATTCCGCAGTTCAGTTGATTTGCATATTAGTTTTTTATTATATAGGATATGCATAACCCATGGACACAGACAATAGTGTGGTGAAGGGCTGGGGTCAGGTGGGAGCAAGGTAGAAGGGACAAATAGGGGGAGGGGACTGCAATACTTTCAGCAATAAAGATAAATTTAAGAAAAAAAAATTTTATGTCAGTAAACTGACATAACATTGTCTGTCTCAAGAGGGGAATTAATCTGATTATAAGTTCTCTTGAAATTTAATGGAGTGGATAACATTTCAATAGATTTTTAGAAACAATGTCAATATATTAAGTACATACTGTTTAAATAATTGAATCAGCCCTAACCGGTTTGGCTCAGTGGATAGAGCGTCGGCCTGTGGACTCAAGGGTCCCAGGTTCGATTCCGGCCAAGGGCATGTACCTTGGTTGTGGGCACATATCCAGTAGGAAGTGTGCAGGAGGCAGCTGATGGATGTTTCTCTCTCATCGATGTCTTTAACTCTCTATCCCTCTCCCTTCCTCTCTGTAAAGAATCAATAAAATATATAGTTTTTAAAAAAATAATTGAATCAGTATCCCTCCCCTGGGAACTGATCTTTAGGCCACTTCACAACGGACATTCCTCTTGCTTAGACCACATTCCACTTGCTAAGACCATTATCTCTCCCCTCCGGGGTTTCCCAGATTCCAGACCGGCACAGAGAATTCTCCGCCCAAAAAACCCCGCCTAGAGTCCTTTAAAAATGTCTTTGAGTGCTGACACCATTTGGGTGCTCAGCCCATCTGAGTACCCAGATGACCTAGTAAATTTATAATTCTTTATCCCATTTGGCCTCATGCATTCCTCCTTCAGTGACCCTAACACATACATAAACTTAAAAATATAGAAAATAAAATATTTATACATTTTTAACTTTATATACCTTTCAAATGTTGGTTCCATATTTTTTTCCTTGACAAATCTGTAAATTGGCGGGAAAGCAAAAGGATGTTAGTTATCAGTTTAATTAATGACTTTGATTACTAGGTTTTAAGATATAATGCACCAAAAATTACTATTAAGCAATTATACATATTTAAAAGTTCTGGTAATATCCCTACTTGATATGATTAACTGATTTAATAGTTTTTGTTTAAAATAACTCTATGTCTTCTCTTTGCTTTTACCACCATGTAAAAATAATGTTGACATAATAATCTAGTCTGTTTATGTTATTGTTTTATTATCTGGTGAGTAGCTTAGGTATTTTGAATATTCCTATTTTTCCTGTGTGTTTTTTCCTTCGGGTCAGATTAACTATCATCATTGTATTAAGATTGCACATCATGTGTTTAATGGAATCAAATTATCATAATAATTGTCTTTATAAAAGGATCATATTCTTAAAATGCTACAGCCATAAGAACTAAATTTTTCAATGCATTTTCAGATTCTTAGTTAACTTTAAGAGCCTAGAGTCGTGCGGGTATGCATATACAGTGCGATTGAAACTTCGTAGCCCATGAGCAGAAGTCGGTATTTTGTGGAAGAGCCACACTCAAGGAGCCAAAGAGCCGCATGTGGCTCGCGAGCTGCAGTTTGCCGACCACTGGCCTAGACTAATAGTACTTTGAGGGGAGCTAATTAATAAACAATCTTTGAATATCTAGACAATTTCAAATTAAGAACAAAGATACAAAAGACTGAGTCAGTAAACATAGTTTTAATTTAAACTTACATATTGTAGAATGATGATAAATTAATAGATACAGCATATGCACCTGCCATTGGATGATGTAGTACACATGTCCTTTTTTTCACCTTATAATTTTAAAACTGATATGTAAAGTACACTCAAGGGCAGGAACACTTGACATTTCTGTTTCCTACTTCTTCCATTAAACAAAAGTTGGTTATATTGGTTAATGGCTGTAGTTAGTAGAAATGGTTGAGACTATACTATGTACAATATTTGCAGAGAAATATGAATATGTATATAAAGGATTATTTGGTCTGCTTGTTTTTCAAGGGGATTGCAATTGCTTATGAAGGGAATTTTAAATAACCATTTAAGCCAAAAATATGAAGGAAATAACATGTATTCAAGTTAACAAAAATTCAGTGAGAAAGGCTAGAGTGGATAGAATATGAACCATGATGGATCTCTCTCTTTTTCTTTTGTTAATTCTCATCCAAGGATATTTTTTCCACTGGTGTGTGTGTGTGTGTGTGTGTGTGTGTGTGTGTGTGTTTTAAGAGAGAGTGAAAGGGAAGTAAGGAGGGAAGAGGAGAGAGAGACAGAGGGAGAGGGGGAGAGAGAAAGAGAGAGAAAGATGTTGATGTGAGAGAGATCCATTGATTGGTTGCCTCCTACGTGCACCCCCACCATGGCTGGGGATTGACCCTGCAACCCAGGTATGTGCCCTTGATCAGGAATTGAACCCTGGCCCCCGGTGTGCAGACTGATGCTTTAACCACAGCCACACCTGTCCAGGCTGATCTCTCCTTAACACCTAACTCCACTCCAGACCTCTGCACTAGAACACAGGGCTCCCTCAACCTCAGATTCCAGTCAGACCTTCTTCCTAGTTGATATAAAAATTATTTTTAGTAACACTACTGAATTCTATGGGAATTCTCTAAGCGGCAGAGGCACAAAAACTTAGATATATCTTCCTACAGATATGTGTCACCTTCTTAGCATTCACCACTGCTATCACCATGAAATGAACAAGGAAATCAAAATCCTCTATTCTGTACATATAAATTGTCACATGTTCAAATATACGTTATCTACTTTGGAAGCTTCTATCAAGCACCCCAATTCTGCCTTTCAAATATCAGCCCTTAAATTTGTCAACACCTTGAACTTCATTCACTCAGTTGAGTCGTGTCCCCTGGCAAAGTTTGTGTTGTTTTCCTAAGCCATCCAGTTTGTGATAGCTGGCTGTGGCACCTAGGAAGGTGCCAGCCTTGGAAGCTGATTCATTCAGCCACAGATGAATGGACTAAAACAACCTGGTATATGCATACACTGAAATTTTAATCAGTCCTAAAAAGGAATGAAGGTATAGTAGTCTCTCCTTATTCGCAGTTTCAATTTCTGTGTTTCAGTTACCTGAGGTTAACTGATCCAAAAATATTAAATGATGATTTCCAGAAATAAGCAACTCGTACATTTTATTTAATTGTGTGCTATTCTTGAGTAGCATGAGGAAATCTTGCACTGTCTAGTTCCGTCCTTCCCAGGACATGAATTACCCCTTTGTCCAGTGTATCCACACTGTATATATGCTGCTTGCCCATAGTCAGTATTTGTCAAGGTTATCAAATCAACAGTCACAGTATTACAGGGCTGGTGATCATGTAACCAATATTGTACTTAATAATGGCCCTAACGCCATTTATATAATTTTTTATTACATTACATATATTGTCATAATTGCTCAATTTTATTATTAGTTATTGTTGTTAATCTTTTACTGTACCTAATGTAGAAATTAAACTTTAATGTAGGGATGTATGTATAGAAAAAAAACATAGTATATGTAGGGTTTGGTGCTTTATGCATTTTCAGCCATCCACTGGGGGCTTGAAATGTATCCTCTATGGTTAAGGGGGGACTACTCCCTATATAGTACCACTAGCATGAACCTTGAAAATATTATGCTAGATTAAAGAAGCCAGTCGCAAAGACCACATATTATATAATTCAATTCATATGAAAATCAAGAATAGATCATCTACACAGACAGAAAGTAGATTACTTGTTGCTTAGGGTAGGGAATGAGGTGACAGCATAGGGGAGTAATACCTAGAAGGTATGATTTTTACTTTTGACGTGATAAAAATGTCCTAAAGTTGACTATGGTGATGGTTGTACCTATCCTTGAATATATCAAAGACCACTTAATTGTACTTTCTAAATGAGTGAATTTTATATATTTGAATTATATCTTAGTAAAAGTTTTAGAAAAGACAAAAACAAAACAAAACAAAACCCCACAACCCAACCCCATAATAAAGAAAATGTCCTCTCTAACTCATATGTCCTTTTTGGCTCTTCCTAGCAGTGACAGTATAAAGACAGTTCATTCACCAAGTTTTTGAGAAGAATTGTTCCAGTAAAACAAATTACTTTCAAAAAATAAACAAAAAATCAACTCTCTCAAACCTGTTTCCTACTACCCGGTGTTGCCCCAAAGCAACCAGGCATCTCTTTTTCCATTATAGCCTTCAACACTATATTCTGTGCTTCCATCAGAGCTCTGACCACTCTGGGTTTTCACTGTCAAGAGATGGGTCAGTTTCCTTTACTGGACTATGAGCCCAATGTGGTCAGTGAATGAATCTATTCTGGTCACTGTTACATCATCAGGTTGTTCCCTAGGTCCTCACTTAGACCTTCTAGCCCTCAGAATTTCTAGGACCTTTGTAATGGGCTTTTATCAACGAAAGTGAAGGCTCCTTTGAGGGTCTAGAGCTCATCTGTGCTTTACCTAGAGAGAAAGGTCAGCAATTACCTCTCCTGTTTTCTGTTTGACTTGTACATAAGATACTTTGAGGAAGGTTTTTACAGCTAAAAACATGTGATGGCCATTGGACTTGTTGACTGTGAGAAATAAGATACCTACCAAGAAAGATTTTGGTGGCTAACTGGGCTCAAATTTACAAACAGAGCCTAGCAGCCATTGCTAACCAGGGGCCTTTCATACACGCTGCACTGAATTCAGTGTGTTCCTGCCCTGACTTTCAATACAGGTTAAGGAGTTGCTGGAATTGCATTTCAACCAATAGGACTAAGACTTTCCCCATCCAGTTGGTGCTATACACCTATATCCCCATTAGCATCTTCACTGACCAATCAGAGCAGCCCCACTATGACCAATCAGGACAGTGCTTTTTGGGTCAAACTGAGAATTTGGAGTCCTCATTTACATAAGGACAAACCAATCAAGGACCAGAAGCAGGGACTTCTGTGTATTTGTCAGTTCCTTGTGGCTTGGAAAGCATACTTGCCCTTTCCACAGAAGACTGTAGCCTGCATTTTCCTGGTTTGGCCAATTGGATAATCCTTCCTGGAATTAGGAATATTGTTTAAGGAAGTGACAACAAAAACACAGGTACAATCAGGAAGTTGTCCACAACGATAGCAATGGTTCAAGAGTCTCAAGAGTCTTATGGCAATGGTGTTCAGGGCCCCAGGTGTGTGTGTGTGTGTGTGTGTGTGTGTGTGTGTGTGTGTGTGTGTGTAGGGTGGCAATGGAAGCAGCAGCAGCCCTTTTCTGATGGTTCTGGCCATTATCTTATTTTGGTTGACATCCTCTTGGCACTGTCTCTTTTTTCTCCCTACTCATATTTTCAGTCTGACTTCCCATTGATTTTGTGAGCTAGCCATTCTCTTTCCAATAATCAGCAGCTATTTTGTGTTGATTAAAATCAATGGAGTATCCTCCTAATTGATCTTTTCTTTTGTCCTACCATTTCCTTCAGTGTTTTCATTATAACAGCTTAAGTGAGCTCTTCCTCCCTTCTCTCTCTCTCTCTCTCTATCTTTCTCTCTCTCTCTCTCTCTCTCTCTTTCTCTCTCTCTCTCAGTAAAAGTGGGACATTTAAAACATTTCAATAAATGTCACCTATGCTCCCCCCGCCAAAAAAAACAACCATCTCACTCAAGTCCACATTCAACCTGGCACTTTAACCCTCTATCCTCATCTCCTTTACTCCTACAAACTCTCTTACTCCTCCAATCCAGCCACACATGTCTCTTCCTGGATTCACGTGCACACACATTCTTCTGTCTCAGACTCTGTTCTTTTTAATTGTTTTTCCAGGAACACTCACTTCCTCATATCTGTATGGCTTGCTCATCATTGCCTTATGAAACCACCATGACTACCCATTTAAAATTCCAACCTTGAGATACCCTATCTCACTTCCCTAGTTTGCTTTTCTAACATATCATTCATTTATTTATTATGTTTATTTTTAATTATCTACCTTACAAATTAGAATGTAAGGTTCATGAGGGAAGAATCATGTCCATGTTGTTCACTGATAAGACTCAAATACCTGAAGAGTATCCTGGCCCACCTGAATATTCAATAAATATTGATTGAGAAACATGAATGATAAGGGAAAGTTTTCATTGCTGATCAAGTTGGTGGAGTTTATAAATGAAATAACAGAGCCATGGCCATTTAACTATTCTTTAAAGTGGATTAGAGAGTATTGGAATTGGAAGTCATAATAATACTCAGAGAAGCAGGTATAGAAAGAAGAGAGGATGGGGAGGAAAAGGTAATGAGCCAGCAAGAAGGTTGAGGCTGGGTTATTAAAAGTGTGGCTCAATCAGTGGGAAGTCTTTGGTGGTGGGCTAGAAGAAAAGAGACATTTTAAGTGTTTGCAGTGGCTTATTGATGTTACACACACAATACACAATAAACATGCCACACACAACAGTATTGAACTCCTTAGTGCCTTTTTTATGGGAGGGGGGGCGGGGAGGGGTATAAAAATCAAGAAAAAGGGATGTGTCCCACATTTTGGTCAAGAACACCATAAAGACATGGAATCTACAACAAGAATTTGATACAGACACAAATCTAGCCAGAGGTGAAGGAACAATCTGTAGGCTTTTGCTGAAATGTCAGACATGGCATGGCTTTTCTACTGGTGTAGAAGATATGCTACCAATTCACACTGCATATTATCAGGTGACCCTCGCTGACCTGTGACCTGCAGTACTAGCGCCTTTTCTTAGGGTTGTTGACAGAATTTTGGGAGATGGAGTTGCGTGTCCCTATACACTTGGGCAGAGTTCTGTTTTCCAATGGTTCCTTCCATACCCAGTAGGGGGGCAGTCAGCGGGCCACCAGGCAGAGCTCATAGGTTGGGGGAATGTTGCCAAAGCCTGAGATCTTGGGGGTGATATCGATGTCAGCAGGTGGCACCAGCGGGCGGAGCGAGAAGTTCTGAAGGACAGAGGTGAAGTAGAGGAAGAGTTCCATTCGGGCCATGGCCTCGCCCAGGCAGATGCGCTTTCCTGTGAGCACATTGGAGGAAGGGAAGGTCAGTCACACTTGCACTGGGATAGTGGGGTCATGGGGAGCCTTCTGACTCCACCACCCACCTGAGTCTCGGCTACTTTCTCATTATCTCTGGGGTCATGATAACACTCACTTCATAGGGTTATTATAAAGACTCAGCAAGGTTCTAGTTTAGTGCTCAACTAGGATCTGTCACTCAATATGTGGCAGCTACTTCTCTAATGGCTTGGATTGCATCATAATCCAAGATGGAATGGTTGTAAAGGAACTTTGAATATGAAGATTCTGTGCATTTTAATTTCTCAAATGTTTATCAGAAGCCTAACTGATGCTAGATACTGGTGAAGATCACTTTTGTACTACAATGGTGTATGTGACTAATTCATACTGCACATTTCAGACAGAGATCATATAACTAGAAAAACCTAAAATAGTTTCTGTTTGATCCTTAGCAGAAAAAGTTTGCTGACTCCTATATAGTGCTACTACTTTTCTAAATATAAGAGTCAATGATTCTAATATTCTGAGATTCTGGGATTCTAGGATTCTTTGACATAGCATTCAATTTCCTTTTCAGATATGAACCAAATATGGACCAATGGTTGAGAGACATATCAAGCATGTTTCTGAGGGAACTCAGACCATAGAAACCTACCAGAAGAAAAAGGCACAAAGGCTTCATTCTTCTTGAAGCGGCCCTTTTCATCCAAGAAGTGTTGGGGATAGAAGGCATCTGGGTAGCGGAAGTATTTGGGGTCTTTGAGGACGGAGCCAAGCAGGGGAAATACGTCAGTGCCCTGGGGTAAAAATCAATGTTGAGAAATCAATGTTGGAGTATGGGTTAAGGAACCAGGAGGAGAGAGGGGTATAGTGGAGGGAGAAGAAGTGCCAATGAGTGTGTACTCCACCTTGGGCAGAATGTAGCCTCGGAAATTAGTGTCCCGAATGACATTATGTGGAACACCCATGGGCACGATATCTGTCAGTCTCTGTATCTCATGGATCACAGCATCTGTGTAGGGCATCTTGACTCGGTCATCTACGCTTGGTATCCGATGTGGTCCAATCACCTGGTCAATCTCTTCATGGATCTTTGCTGGAAGAGGCCAAAAAATATAGCAAAGGACACAGGATATATTTCTAGGAGCCAGGTTTGTGCCATGGGTTTGTATCTTTTTTTGTGTTTTTTGTTAATCTTCACCCAAGGATATTTTTTCCATTGATTTTCAGAGAGAGTAGAAGAGGTGGGGGGGGGGGAAGGGAGAGAAAGAGATAGAGTAGAGATAGATAAATATATAGAGAGAGATGTGAGAGAGACCAGGGCTGGGCATCAAACCTCGGTACATGCCCTTGACCGAGATTAAACCCACCACCCTTTGGTGTACTGGGTGACGCTCTAACCACTGAGAACACTGGCCATGGTCATGGGTTTGTATCTTCAGTACCTGTGGACCCTGAGGGAGCTGGCCATGAGTGTTTGCATTGCCTTTTTATTCACAACACCTGACACATTAGTGGGGTTACTCATCAGATCACTGAGAGGCACATAGCCTGGAGCCTTGAATGCCATTGTGACATTTGGTCTTCATTTTGAAAAAAATCAAAGAGCCATGGAGGGCTGATGAGCAGGGCAGAGTCCTGGTCCCAGATGGGCTTTCCTACCCAGAGTTTTGACAGGATGGGAAAGAGCACGATAAATAACTAGGTCAGGATTGAAGCAAATGACAATTATGTGACAGTGGTTAAGAATACTCTTGGTGCAGTCACCCTTCTCTGCACGACCTCAATGAGTAACACTGGGACAAATGACTTCACCTTCTGAAACTATACTTCTTCATCTTCAAAATAGGTGAGACAAGCTCTTAGAATTTAAAATTTACATAAAGTCCATTAGGTAAGTAGCTATGACATTTCCTAGTACATAGAAAGTGTCCATTACACATGTGAATTCTTAGATTAGTAAGAGACAATTTGGACAATGAAGGAGACACTAAAAGAGTTTGAGTGGAAACAAGTTAGTCTTTCCCTTCATCTGTAGTAGAAAAAAATTGTTGTCTTGTTTTGAATTGCATTAGAAGAAAGAGGGGCCAATATTGCACATTTTTCTTAAGCAAGTAATGTGCTCCTCATTGTTGGAGTTACTTAACCATACCAGATTCCAATTGATTGGGGATGGATTCTAATTTATTCTGGCACTATAGTTAGCTAAATAACAGTCATCAAAGACATTCACTTACCTCAGAGGGAAGGTAGGGGAGGGTGGGGGTAAGGGAGAGAGATCAACCAAAGGACTTGTATGCATGCATATAAGCCCAACCAATGGGCACAGACAACAGGGGGGTGAGGGCATGAGTAGAGGAGGTGGGGCAATGAGGGGATAAGGGGGATAAAGGGATATTGTAATACCTTAATTAATAAAGAATTTTTTTTAAAAAAAAAGACATTCACTTCCTCTTCCTAATTCCTGTGAATATGACTTGTTTGACAAATAGGACTCTATAGAAATAAACTAAGGATGTTGAGATGGGGAGATTATCCAGAATTATCAAGGTCAGCTCTAAATACAATCAGAAGTGTCTGTATAAGAAGGAAGCAGTAGAGTCAGAGTCAGAGAAGAAGCTGTGACAACATAATCAAGAGGGATTTGAAGATTTTTGCTGCTGGCTTTAAAGAAGGAGGGAAGATCATGAGCTCAGGAATGCAAATAATATAACTCTAGAATCTGGAAATGGCAAGAATCATGTTCTACCTTGGTTCAGCCCAGCAAAAGCCTATTGAATTTCTGAACTCAGGAACTGTATAATAGATTTATGTTGTTTCAAGCTACTAAGTTTCTGGTCATTGATGACAGCAGCTATGGGAAACTAACACAGACACCATGTAGAAGACTAATTTAAATGGTCTTCCAAGACGTAAATCCCAAGATTCTGTATCCTGAGATTCTAAAGTGTGAAGGATCTAAGGCTGAGTTCCAAAATGGCGGTAGATTAAGTGGAAGCTACACTGACAGTCTCCCAGGACCAAACTGGAATTACAACTAAAATACAGAAAAGCCATTCTAAATTATCAACTGATGACAAGTTGGAGAGAACCCTGATAACCAAGGGTAGAACGTGGAGACCGCATAGAGACTGGTAGGACGTGTGAAGGCACAAGAGGCCTGGCTGGACACCCACAGACAGCAGCTGATGTTCTCAGCTGTGGGGGATTCCCACTGAGAACTCTGGGGTCTAATCACCAAGCTGGGCTCCCCAGCCTAGAGCAACAGAACCAAGAAAGGTTCCCACAAACCATCTGGTTGTGAAAAGCAGCAGGGTTGCTGTCTGTCAGGGAGAGATGGCTGGAAATGCAGGCACCCTCTTAAAGAGCCAATGCACACAATTTCATGTGCAGCCACTAACCTTGGACTCTGGCAGAGGGAGGGCAGAGTGGACTAGAGCTGTGTGAGGAGAATCCAGGGTTGGAGGCTTTGGGGTTAGAGCTTCAAAGGCAGCTGCCCCAGTTTCCTGTATTAAGTCACTCCCTCATACTGCAGAGGACATCTTTCTCAGGGAAACCTTTACCATTCAGGCAGCTTTTGCCTGGGGGTGGGAGGGGAAGCAATTGCCCCACTCTGTTGGAAAACCTCTTGCCCCATCCTCTAGAGTTTAAGCCTTGCTGTGGTCTGTAGCCTGAAGCTAATTAAGACTGAGAATAACAATCAGACTGCAGGCAGAGATGGATCTCTGGAGACTATGACTCTTTGCCTGATCTCTTTCTGGACCCGGGGCTAGGAAAATCAGAAGTATCACATGATCTCACTCATATTTTGAATTTAATAAACAAAATAAACTGATGAACAAAATAGATACAGAGACATAGAAGGATGGAACAGACTGTGGAATCTCAGAAGGAGGTGAGGGTGGGTGGGGAGGAAGAGATTAACCAAAGAACTTGTATGCATATATGCATAACCCTGGGACACAGACATAACCCACAGACACAGACAAGGCTTGGGACTGGGGGACTGGGACCAGGTGTTGGCTAGAAGGGGCCAATAGGGAAAAGAAGAGACATATATAATACTTTCAACAGTAAAGATTAAAAAAATTAAATTAAATTAAAATGCTAATTAATGAAGAGTCTAAGGCTATAGGTTTCTAAGATTTCAAAGTTATGTCTTCTTTCCTGGTAGGAGTGGCAGTCACCAGGTGAGCAGCTCATGTGGACACTCACCTTCCACCTCAGGATGCTTCATTAGAAGCAGAAATCCATAGCGAAGTGTAGAGCTCACAGTCTCTGTGCCAGCAAAGAAGAGGTTGAGAGTGGTGAGGACCAAGTTCTTGAGGTTGAATTCTGTGTGTGGATTGTTTTTGTCCTGAAAATGAAATGGATAAGAAATAGAATCACCCTTTTCTGTCTTTATCTTCTTATTTTTCCCTTTGTGTATGGTAGGCCTTTGTGAAAACACAATAGATGGGAAAACCAAGTGGGTATCTAGGAGAGGAAATAGCCAGAGCAAAGGTCGTGAGGCGGGAGTATTCCTGGTATGTTAGAGAATAGCAAGGAGGTCAGTATGTTTGGAATGGAGTGAACAATGAGGAAAATGGGAAGAGAAGAAACTAGAGATTACCATGTTAGATTTGAATGTTCTATGACATTAGGGGGTAAAATTTTTAACTTTCAAGTGCTGCTGTTTTATATTAAAATACCCAGTTCTATAAATCTATGACAGAAGTATTAAGCTTCTAATTTCTATATCTCTATGACTTTTAAGTTTGAAATTTAAACTCTTAAGTTTAAAAATTTTATATGTCTAAGGTTCTCAAATTTTAAGACTCAAAAGACTCATCCTAGTTTTCTTTTCTCTTTTTTTTTGTTTTAAATTCTTTTTGTTGTTGCTGTTGTTGTTAATCCTCACCCAAGGATATTTTTCCATTAATTTTTTAGAGAGAGTGAAAAAGAGAAAGAAAGACAGACAGAAACATCGGTGTGAGAGAAACACACCAATTGGTTGCCTCCTGCAGGAGCCCTGACCAGGGCCTAGGCTGGGGAGGAGCCTGCAATCAAGTATGTGCCCCTGACCCTTTGGTCTGCAAGCCGACACTCTATCTACTGAGCTAAACCGGCTAGGGCTGGTTTTAAATCTTTATTGTTCAAAGTATTACATATGTCTCCTTTTTTCCTCCATTGAACTCTCCCTCACCGTTTCCACCACCCAGCATATGCCCTTCCCCCCTACTTTCTGTGTCCATGGATTATGCTTATATGCATGCATACAGGTCCTTTGGTTGATCACTTACCCCTTCCCTCCGCCCCTGCCATCCCTCTGAGGTTAGATGGTCTGTTTGATGCTTCTATGTCTCTGGATCTATTTTTGTTCATCAATTTATATTGTTCATTATATTCCACAAATGAGTGAGATCATGTGATATTTATCTTTCTCTGTCTTATTTCACTTAGCATAATGCTCTCCAGGTCCATCCATGCTGTTGCAAATGGTAAGAGTTCCTTCTTTTTTTACAGCAGCGTAGTATTCCATTGTGTAGAGGAACCACAGTTTTTAAATCCACTCATATGCAGATGGCACTTAGGCTGTTTGCAAATCTTAGCTATTGTAAATTGTGCTGCTATGAACATAGGGGTGCATATATCCTTTCTGATTGGTGTTTCTGATTTCTCATCCTACTTTTCTACAGCTGTACGCCTCTGGCCCTTATAATCATACATGATTAGAAACTTGTAATGTTTTAAGTTTCCATGTTCTTAAACTTTTTAGATTCAACGTTTACTCTTGAAAGTTTAAGGGTTTATGTTTTTACAGTCTTTAGATCTCATCTATAAGTAAAATTACACCATGTGAAATAATGCTGGCTTATTATTTTTGGCCTCTACCATGTCTGCAGATGAGTTTCAAGTTGCAGGTACTAGGGATTGAGGAGATGAGAGGAAAGGATTGGGGGAAGAGGATGAGTTACCTGGTGCATCTTGATGAGGAAACAGTCAATGAAATCTCGAGGGTTCTGTGGATCAAGGGATTCCTCGTTGATCTTGACTCTAGAAGCAATGAAGTCCTTGAGCTCCTCTATCAAATAATAGACGCGGTTGTGTCTTCCTGGCAAATACTGCATGATTCCAGAATACATGTCATATAGCTGTGGGGAATAGACAAAGGTGGTTTGTCAGCAATGGGCACCCAAGGCCATTCTGGGCTGAATCTCGAGTTAGGTAGCTGGACTCAACATTTAAGGTTTGAGAACTAGGTGCGTCCATTTGCTTTTTGGAGATTCAGGGCATATTGATACTTGCCTCTTGGGGTTTTTGGGAGTATTATGCAAGATAGCAAGTTATTAATTATTTGTGATTGGGGGTGGGCATAGAGGTGGCTGGTGGGAACCTGTGCCCAGGGTGTGCTCATCTCAATGAAGCTCCCATTGATCATCTGCAGCAGCTTCAGGAACATCTTGTCCTCATAGTCGAAGCGGCGTCCAAAGACAACAGAACTGATGACGTTGGAGACAGTGCGGCTCAGAAAGAAAGTGGGTTCAGTGGGGGCACCTGGGTGATGAAAATTATCTATGTTGGAAGCAATAATCAGGAGCAGGGGTTGTGGAATCATTCGGTCATGAATATGAGTCCTAGTTCCACTGCCTAATAGCATGTGTTAACTATTTCATATTTGTATTTTGAGTCAATTCCCAATATGCAAATTGGTTTAGTAACCACTTCACTGGTTCATGAGGATTCAGTATAATTACCCATGTTAAATGCTCAACACAGTCTTTGCCATGTAGTAAACAGTAAAAACATGATGGTGGAGCTTAATCATTACTTTTAGTATTGGTATTTAATTGTGCTGGAGAGTCACACATTTGGAAAAGGAGTCCTAGAAGTCCTAGAAAGGGATACATTTTTTTAAAAAAAATGGCTGGCTGGAGTTTGTCTATATCTATTAATGGTTCCATTTGACCTATTAAGCAAATCCTTCCCTTGGTCTCAGCTGCTCTGTTTATAATGCAGGATACTTCTCAGGACAGTGGATTTGGGGATGATTTCCCTAGAGCAATGCCTATAATCACAAATATACAATTTTGCAAATTATTTCTGGAGATATATAGACATTCAAAATCTTATGTAGACTATTTGGTATCCATGGAGTCCAGGTGAGGGACCTCTGTCTTAGAGAAATTATCACCAGTTCTGTCTCTTAACTATTCATCTTTGTTTTTCTCAGCCCCTGTGTGTTTTTTCTCTAGACCTCGGTGGCTCTAGATCTTATTTTTGGGTGGGGACCAGATTCCTTTAAAACTATAATGAAATGAGTATAGTGTTTCAGATTTTCAAGATGAAAAATTTCTAATGATCTGTTTAATAATAATGATGTGATATCAGGAGCTCACAAACTCCCTGAGATCCACTGATTAAAGTTTTTGGACAAGATGTCTCTAAGTCTCCTTCATGTTAACTTTTTATATGGGACCTGGCTGGAAACGTCAGTGAATTCTGAATCTTCTTCATCCTCTCCCATTCCAGAGCTTTCTGTCACCAAGGCCTATGAGCTCTCTACAACCACCCACTCTGTAGCTCCCTCCCTCCTTGAGGCCCCATACCCTTTGTCTTCCGTAATTCCTCCAGTAGGAAGCCAGCCTCCTCCTGGATTCGCTCCTCAATGCTGCGCTTTCCCATCCCGAAGTCCCGAAGAATGGTCAGGGAGAAGCGTCGGAGAATCCTCCATCGTTCTCCATTAGCCAGAGCCACACCTGCCGGAATCTCAGTGTCAGTCTTCTGCCTCTCCTCCCCTTCCTGTGTCTAACTCTTTACTAGGCTAGGATGTGGACAGATTATGAAAGCTCTAGAATCTGCTTTTAGGGAAACCTTTCCCAACTCCCAGGCTTGTTGGGGAGACTAAGGTTTCCTACATATAGGACCCTCAAAAACAGTCTAGTACTGAGGTGGAGAAAAGGGAATCAGGCTCTAGTGATTGCGAGATCAAGGAGAGTTTCCTACAGGGTAAAGTCTTAGAACTGGATGAATGGGATGGATACAAAGGAATGTGGAGGGAAGTATAGATAGAATGCCATATAGAGTAGCCTGGAATGAGAAGACTATTCTGTTTTCTATATACCATTTGGATTCTTTTTTGTTATTATTGTTGTTAATCTTCATCCAAGGATATTATTTCTATTGATTTTTAGAAAGAGTGGAAAGAAGGGGGGAGGGGAAAAGAGAGAGAGAAAAAAACAACAACATTGATATTATAGAGAGATACTGATTGGTTGC